AACAGTGCAATAGCCGTCGTCTTGCGCCAAGCTGCTTGTACTTGTTCAAGGTCTCCCTCTGGGAGTAGAAGTCTGGCTCGTGACCTCAGTGCTCAACTTGACACCCGAGCTCAATGTACCGATCCCTGAGCTCCCCGCCAAACAATCCAAACCCCGTGCTCAAGATGTCAGGAATCATTGCTTATAACTGAAGTAAAAAACCGACAGACAAACACACCAACCCATGTGCATCGACAGTACTTTTTCCTACTACGAGTACTGCACCTACACTTTCCGTCAGCACTGAGAGGAAGTAGGTCAAAGCGAGCTTCATCACCTTCCAAGCTTCGCTTGTGGACCCCCTAAGAGAGTTACTTCGGATACCTCGAAGCTGCCCAAGCCTGCACCTTGCCAGTTGACGCACGCACGACATGAAAGACGAGATCGCTCTATGCTCAGTCGTGAAGCGTTGGTGATGACACTGTTCTGATGGATTTTTTTCACTCCTGCTGACTTCACATCCTCTCGGCCTGGACCCCGGACACTCAACCATCACTTTCCGGATCTGTCACTTAATATGGCCCGGAACCTTCTGCTCAGGTCCGTGCAGGTGCGGTCCATCCTTGGCAAAAATGCAACGGTTAGAGTGCGGGAGGTCCACTTTGGTGTCACTGTACATGAGATTTACGGAATTTAAGGATTGGGGACTCCGCAGTTGGCGGATTGTCTGACACCGGGCGGTGAATAGTCCAAAATTTTAAGAGGGCCCTTGGCGGTTAGCGCACGCTGCTTTGCTCAGGCCCCTTCGCAGGTGCATAGCCCTCCGAGACATTTACAATGACAACAAGACCACAGATTGGAACAAACCCGAGCTGATGTGTCATCTTCAAGCTGCTTTTGCTGGATCAGCGGGTTAAGCGCCTTCAGAGTTTAGGTTTTTATAGTTTGAATGCGCATGCGCCGAAAAAACTACTCCCGGAGCTTAGCTTCCGTTGAACCCTAAACACTCAGCAAAGGCATCGACGAGAGTGTGGGACTCCGTGGTTGACCACCCAAAATTCAAGGGTCGTCATGTTTAGGGTGTATCGGTGTTTATGTACTTGCCTCGTTTGGACGTTACCCTCTCGCAACTCGTTCACTGCCAGACGAGCTCTCTCGGTTCGTTGACTCACCACAAGCTTGTGCAGTTTAGGTAAATCGGGCTCTATGGGTCTCTGTTCGGGTTGACAGTCTGTTCAGGTTGTCATGTGATCGGAGGTCATCCCAGATTGAGAGTGTCAGGTTCGAGCTGTACTCCGTCATGCCATGACTCAGGAAATTCCGCAAAAGCGGGAGGAAACCAGGAGGTCAAAAAAGGGCCATATAAGGGCCCGACTAGTTCGCAAGACAAACCCTACAGGGAATAGTAACTTACTGGAATATCAGTCGCCGAACCCTGACCAGCATCTGAGTCTGCGTGCTCACCGGATTGCACCAAGCTCTCAGCGTTCCGGGTAAGACCTGGGACGACCAAGAGTTAAAGTCCCATGTTCCAAGCCCTTATATGCAGGGACCTCAATAATTAGACTGAGGTTTTGGGGCAGGTTACAGGTAGCAAGTATTTAACAAGCAAAGCAAGGGATACTAAGTCGGAAACTACTACTGAATATTATTATGACCCCGTCTTGCCCCGAGATTGAACCTGACGACCCAGCTGAAACCTCTACCTACCAACCAAGTCACGGTCCGAGCAAAACTTGAAACTTGACATCCTAAATTCAGTCTGTCATACCACCACCGGCAGGTCAGGAATGGAGAAATCTCTGCCTGACCGCAGGTTTGAAGAGGCCTCACACTGCTGGACCAACACCGAAACATGCATTATTCAACACAGCATCCGAATCCACACATCGTGTGTATTCTCCACGCCCTGAACACCCCTGAATCCTTACCGTCGTCTCTAATCTCCTGCGCCACCAAATCCTTCAGTTCCAGGGCCCCGAACAGCGCATGACTGGGAAGCACTTGGTGGCGTTGCAGCCTCAGAACAAATCAGTGCAAAACTAAGGCATGCTGGAGCGTCCCCGGGCTTCTTCGTCTCCTATTGTGCTGTGCACGGGCAGAGGATTAATGTGGTAATTAGGCTTCGCAGGGCCAAGGGCTCTCTTGAGGTTAGGGCTCTCGTGAGGTCACCATCGACACTTAGAACAGACATAGTGTCTTTTTTTTTTGGGGGGGGGGTCATGTATCGGGTCCGGCTGTGCAGGGTTGTGGATGTCCCGATGAGGCTGCACTTCAGCCAAATGCAAGCTTCTGAGCACCTACTTCCCCTTTTCCACTGGATCGGTGAAAGGTAAGCACCCGGCGCGTGCACAGATTTCTGTCTACGATGTACTCTTGTGCCTGGCACGCAGATAGACTACTCAAAATACAAACATGCCATCACCAACCGAAGTCACTGCCCCAACATCTACGGAATCTACGGGAATATTCGTGCCTCTTGCACGTAACGGTATGTAATGTACCTTACCGTAGCAGGGCACTGCTCCGCACAACGATTTAGTGACTGCGCAGTTTTCTGGTGACTGTAGACTTTATTTCGGGTCGTGAACATGTATGCATCTTCTCAAGTGGTGACGGGATTGCTGTATGAACCTGCGGCCATTCGCTCCGCTTCATCCATCCATTGAGCAGTCAGTACACATCCACCAGCACCATGTCATTTCGGGAACTGCTGTCCCGGATGCCCGCTGCGAAGGACAGACCTCCAGAAATAGTGCTCCTTTCCGTAACATATATCAGGCCGAGCATTCCAAACCACTGGCTTCAGGGCGCAAGCTCCAAAACCCAAACCATTGACAAATGGAAGCCCGAAGCGGCAAGTTACCCAGCAGCAAGCCTGTAACTAAGCAACTTCTAGCTGGGGCGGCGTGCCTCGAAGCACATGGCCGGACACTCCTGGCTCAGACATGCTCGGGGTTTTGGGAGAACGGGGTTTGATGTGCGCTTGGAGCCGACACCCGAGCCCGATGGAACAGGCATTCTCGACACGAAGCAGGACCCTGAATATGCAAAATCCCAAGACCCTCCAACTTCAACCCGATCCATATCGTCTTGGATATGCCTGCCTGATCCGATGCTCACCATCTAACCGAGCCTTGTAAATTGAGCATGGATTCGGCTTCCAGCTTGCGATTTCGACCATACTTGTATGCCCAGACACGTAAAGGGGTTCAGTCGTGTGCAATGCGTTCGGAATTTATCAAATGTCTTTGGGACAAAGGAGCCGACCCCGACATTGAGACCACCTGTTTAAAGCCAACCTGGTTCGGATACCTTCGTGCAGCTAGAAGACATCCGATGATGATGTCCCACTGGTGCTGGCAGCTTCGGAAACCAGACCGAAGATAACAGAACCCTTGCAGAGACTGCAAACCACGAAAGAAGCTTGAACCACTTTTCAATGCAGTGCCCCGGGCTAGATGGGATTTCTAGTTTTCGGCTGTAAGGCCTGTAAGATCCTGTAATTCTTTACTTCACCCGTTCCTCTATGCACTCCGCTGCAAGGTTGCTGCTGCAGTCTGGCGCGCACTCCTGGCCGGATCGGTTCGGAACCCTGATGCCCAAGCTGGAAATAAACAGAAGTCCCAATGCAGACACCGGCGTATTTGCAGTGCTGGTGGATACCACCCATGAGACGGTACCATGGCAGGATCAACAACGAGTCGATGCTAAACATCTTCGAAAGACAGATCAGGACTAAGTTTTGGCAGCTAAAGTCGCAGCAGCGAGACATTCAAGCGAGCAGCCATGCCGCTTTCAAACTACGTTTCGTAACTCCGTCGCTGCGCTGCCAATGTTGAACCGTATCTTCTTTGCATAGCTTGGAAGCATATATCATCCCTACATCCCAAACCTGCTTGGCTACCTCTCTTGGTTCAAGCACCCCTGCGACCTTCGCTAAACTTAGCCCTAGTATCTGCCATGCAGGTTGGGGACTTCCTGGACCCCTAATAGAAACCCGAAGAAGGACAGTTCATGCGACCAGAAGATTTCAGAAAACAGATCCGTCGTTTGTCTTTCGCCATCCGCTGCAGGGCTCGATCTCCCTAGACACGTTTTTCTTTCGGTGGGAGGGCATATGGGTTTACGCTCTGACAACTCGGACATGCCAGGCGAGGTCCATAGGTTCGAAGTCGGCGTGACACAATGAGCAGCATCCGATCTCATTAGACACAAACCCAACGGCTAACCAACTGCCATAACCGCCAACAAGAACCGGCTCAAAAACACCTCGGATCAAATGCTCAAGAGGTAACCAAGAGGCAACTAAAGTGCGACAGTTCTACATGTGGGAGCCTAGAGGCCTGTCCGCCGATAAGCATGGAACACAAAGGACAACGAAACAGGCTGACCAAGGCGGCAAGGCCAGTAGGTTGGCAGCGGCTGTTTTTTCTTGGCAGACGTCGTCGGTGTGTCAGAGTGACATGTGCAGCAATCTTATGGCGAAACCATAGCTGGATACACGCAGAAGGCTTCTTCCAAGAGTGCTTGGCTGCTACGGCGTCACACGCGCTCCTGGGTCTTCCAGGCTGCACCTGAACGAAGCCAAATTCCTCCCAACGTTCGCTTGAACTCCAGTGGGGTAGGCAAAGTGAGCATTGCGGTAGTCTCCGTCTACCCCAACAACTTCCACCAATTCGCTCACGCACAATACCCACTCAAGCTCTAGTGGAAAACCTGAAGCTCAGGGGAATTCACGACTCAGCGACGAAGAAGCGCCAAAGCTCCAACAGATGCGGCGCCCAATGCAGCTCCTAGAAGCAGTGAGGATAAACACGGGCGGGACAGCGCCGTAGTTGCCTTCTCCTCCATGCTGAGGATCGAGACAGCGGCCTTCCACAGTGTGTCGTTTGCGGCAGCCACGACTCTTCCCCGTGACAACTCATGCGATTGCAAAGTGAGCGGTTGGCCACTCCAGTCCGTCATCCGGCCGCCGGCACATGTGACAACGGGGACCAGGGCACAGTAGTCGTAAATGCCTAGGTCTGCCTCGACGACGAGATCTGCTCCAAACCCTGCCGCCACCAGTCCGTAGGCATAGCAATCGCAGCCATAGAGGCTTTCCCATTCAGAGTGGTGCGTCCATTGGCGCCCAGCCAGCGCTCGCCGAGCACGCACTGGTCAATGATGCCCAGCGCAGGCACCCCATTGCGTAGAAGAGCAATGAGGGTGCCGAAGAGAGGCTTCCCTGTGATGAAGGACTTGGTGCCATCGATGGGGTCCAGGACCCAAACCCACTCCGCGTCTTGCCGGAGACTGCCGAACTCCTCGCCGATGATCCCATGGCTGGGATACCTTAACTCGATGAGGTCCCGCATGGCTTTCTCTGCCTCACGATCTGCGATGGTTACAGGACTCTCCGCCACGGGACGGTCATACTCCAGCTTTGATTCCACCTCAACCGGCTTGCGCCAGTATTGTCGAATCACGTTCCCGGCAGCATCAGCCAGTTCCTCGGAGAAGCTCAGGAGATCAGCACTAACCGTCAAGGACGCCATGGCGAAACTCTCTGCACAGCTGAGGCTTCAAAGCTGAGATCTGTTGTGTAGGCTTGGGCTCAGCGAAAACGTCTGCAACTTGAGCCAAAATGGCTTCAGCTTATGCATATAAAGGTTGAGGATTTTGGGATCGAAGGTTGCGAGAGTCTGGTCGAGCCCGAATAGCATTCCACATTGTCCGGCAAAGCTTCCTTAGGCTTCTGTGTGGCGCCCACGGTCATGTACCTAACCTGCGTTAGTAGGAGTGAATCCCTTAAGTTTGAAGCAAAACCTAAACACTATGAAAAGCCCCAGCGCGGCAGCGACATGGGAATTCCCTTTGTTTGAACCCTGGGCCCCGTTGTATAGCACGCCCTGCGTCACAGAGTTAGGCTTCGAGCTGTGGGTTCTGGGCCAACCAATTGCTATTCCTAGGGGCCAAGCCCCGGGCGACGGTGCACCATTGTCGAAAGCTGCGGTGCGAGCAGCACTGGATATCGTTGATGGCCTGTGCAGAGAACACACAAGGCAAGAGAAGAAGACCGCCATCGCAGCACGACGTGCCAGGCTGCATGACAAACATCCATACAAACCAATGGCAAGGCACTTGTAAAAATCAAACCAGAGCGGAAGGGATGACAGCACCAGCTTGAGATACCCAAGCTCTGCTTTGCCTCGGTCATGTTCCCTTCGCACCTGGGCTAGGGAACTGCACTTCAAGACTCCGCGCGGCTCGCATACCTCACACCTCCGAGTGCTTTCTAGGACTTCAAACACGAAGTCACACACACACACAAAAACAAACAAACAAACAAACAAACAAATAAACACACAAGCAAACACACACACACACACACAGACCACGAAAATCAGACTGTCCTACTCCTCCCTGCGATGCTATGCGTGAGCAGGAACCCTTCGTCCAGGGCTCAATTAAGCATCCGGCCAACAGTCGAGCCATGCATCCAGCTCTGCAGCAGGAATGCCCCAGTCCTTGAGGCTGCATGAAAGGAAAGGGATACTGCATGGTAGCTGCCAGCTCTGCATCCGGGATGTAGTGTAAGTACATGTGGCATGAGCACCGTGGAACCTCCTCAACCCAAACTCGGGGCTGCAAGAACACTATGTAGAGCCCCGGCTTTCCGATGTAGGCATCGGACATGCGTGGTGTTCGTGGACATCTTCTGCCGCAAGCACCTGGAATGCCGCATGGGACAAGGTCGCTTGCTTTGGGGTGAAACAAGGAAGCTTGTCGTGACATATCGTGACCTCGTCCATCTTGCGAAATACCATGAAAGACACGTTCCCTCCAAGCCAGGAGACCAACAGACTATGACGGTGCATGCACAAGCAGCACTAGCAGTGGTGGCGACCGACATGAGGCAGTGCATTCTGTGGTAGCGAACTGCTTTAGTGGCCCGACCGCGCTGCTCTGGTTAAGTCTGAATCTGCATCGAAGTACTGCTGGGGCTGGTCCCAACGACACGTGACCTCCTCTTCAACCATCCTAGGAGGGAATGCCTACACAGGCCTGGCCTGTCATAATCGCTCAGCGAAGGCGTCGGCAGAATCCGCACAGCACGAAGCTCGCACCTCATGAGGATTAAGGATATTTGGATTTTCGCTCAAGAGCCGGCCGTAGGTTGGATAATGATTGTGCAGGGTGATGGTGATGATCTGATGATGATGATGATGACGACGACGATGGCGATGGCGATGGCGGTGGCGGTGGCGGTGGCGGTGGCGGCGGTGACGGCGGTGGC